CACTTTCTGCCCCATTTTTCCCCTTTCTTCCTTCAAAATTTTCCCCTTGCCTCTTTCAAATTCAGCAGACATTAAAACACAACACTTAAATTATAAAGATGTAGTATCAGATTATTGTAGAAATTTATATTTTACTGAAAAGTAAGAAGAAGAAAAACTACTGATAAATATTTGTGTTTTCTTCTAGTCTTGTATTTTTGTACAAGTATTTGTGTTTTTTTTCCTTCAAAATCAGATGATGTTCTGGACAGAGTTTTTCATTTTTTTTAAACAGCATTGTGGGGGAGCATTTAAACATTGAGGAGCTATTATGTGCTTAGTCACTGTGCAAAGTATTTTTCTGGTTTAGGGTGCCTTTCTTTTTACTTGGAACACCCTCTGTTCATGTTTGTCTGTCTTGTGAACTTTTCACTTGTCCTTCAAGTGTGAAATTGGACATGAACCCTTACCTCCAGGCAAAATTAGGAACTGTACTTCTTTGCTTCCTTAGCTGTCTGTACTAACCTCTGGGCACTTGCAGCTTTGATTTATTTCTGTTTATTACTTACCTCCACTGGGACTATGGGTTCCCTTAGGGCAGCAGTTTAATCTTCTTTCCATTGCATCCCTATACTTTAAATGTCTCAATGAATACATGCATGAGTGAATGATTTTGTTTTCCTCCTAACCAAATCATATGAGATAGTTATCATTACTCCCTTTTTCACAGATGAGGAAGCTCAGGTTTGGAGAGGTTAAGTAACTTTGCCCAAGGTCACATTAAGCAGGAACTGAGGATTCTGGAAAACTTCAAATTTAAGTCTTTTACTGTATCATACTACCAGGAAAGAGTAACAGCTAGTACATTTTAGAGCCTGAATAATCCAGGCTGTCAGACTTCAAAGTACCATGCTTATCTCTATACTACATTTATATTGATATATTGAAAGCACTGCACTATTTTTCAAAATCCATTTTATTTTTTGTCCTTAAGGATCAAAAGATTATGTGACTAACTTTTGTATGTGCCTATTTCATCTTCCCCCTCCAAAAAAAAAATTAAAAATCCCAGGCAAAATGTTTCATTTTACTTCTTGAGCATGTGATCTCAGTTCGATTCTTCATTTTACCTCTATATCCATGGTCTTAGTTAGAAAACAAACACACACAATTCTGTTATGTTTGTTTTTTAGAGTTGTTTGTCAGATCCTATTATCCCTAAAAGCCAGGGTAAAAAGAATATTATTGCCATCTGAAAATTAGTATTTCAAATGTAGCTCTTAGTGCAGGCCTGGCCTCCTGAGATTAGCTACCTTTTACATTTTATTCAGTGCCCAGCTGGATTCCTTTTAACTAATTATGATGAGTAGGATCATCCCAGTGAGCTCTCTCTTCTTCTCAGTTGTCATAATGATTCTGAAGTGTGGTAATTTGGTAGTTAGATTTGCTCTTTAGGTTAGCCAATCTTCATATCAAGAAGGTTTATATTCTAGAATTCATTTAATTTCTTTCAGTTTATTCAAATTTATAGTTTTCATCTCTTTGCAGCCTTTGTGTTAATTATCTCTATCTTTATAATTTTTCAACTGCCTTAATAGGACAGTAGGAGAAAGAGCAGTGGGCAGAGAGACCCAGATTCCTTTCTGTTCATTGTGACAATTGGACAAGGCACTTCATTTGTCTGGATCTGTTTTCCTTTCTTTAAGCTGTAGAATTAGGTTGATTATACATAAAGATCCTTTCAATTCAAAGATTCTATAATTTAACTCCTTAGAGCTGTTTTACAGAATAATACAGAAGTTTGTATTATACTCTTAAATTTTGTTTTTAGAGAATGCTTTTCTTCTGCAGATCTTAAAGCACTTAAGTGTTACTAGTTAGCCATTGTATTCCAGAGAGAGAAATATAGTTAAATGACTGAGATTAGAATGTTTCAACTTTTATCAAAAAGAGTGGTTTATTATATTACATTATGAATTTTGTAGAATATTTTAAAGTACATACTTTAAAAATTACATTTTATGAACAATTACATTTACACATAACTTTAATATAGAATTATTAAAAACCTTTAAAAAAGAAACTATCCAGTGTAGATAATAAGAGTTCTTGTATCTAAAAAGATCACCTTTAATAAGTTCCAGCTTTAATCAAAAGCACACGGATTCAAATAAACATTTAACTATCACTTATAAGACCTGAGGTTTGATTTAGAAGAAACTTTTTTTTTATAAGAACTATACCAATGTAGACTGGAAGCCTGCTAATGTTTAAAGGAGAAGGTAACATGTTTGAACTCAAAAGATTGTTTTTGCTATTATTTTGATAGAATGTATGTATCTCTAGTACTTTGTAATAATCATTTATTGGTTTTAGATAAAAAGACTTTTTGAAGGGGACCACTTGGAAATTGAGCTATTTTTTGTTGTCTAGGGTGAAAATCAAGCTTTCGAAATTTATTTACTTATCTACAAATCTTCAAAGGGGAGAAGTTAGGAGTAGATAAGTCTTGTTTTAGTTGATGAATATACAGACTCATTTATAACCACTAGTGATTCTGTGTTTTTGAATTATTATTGAGGAATTGATAAAAATTTTTATATAATTTGCTGAAAGTAAGACATCATTGTTTCTGTAAAATGATGTAGCCAAGAGGCTTAAGATGTCAGTTTAAAATATAATTATCACAGATTTTCTGTAAGAGAGTAATTCTAAAAGTTTTAATTAGGGAAACTCCCATTTTCTAGATTATATATGCTAGATATGTTGCATTTCTAGGGTAGTTAGTAAGTTTTTATAACAAGTGAATAACTATTGAGTTGGTCAGAGGATGAAGAAAAGAAACTTGCCAGTAAAGACAGCTACCAACCTATGTAAAGCTCCTCATATAGCATTTACTTGATGAAAAAGTAATGGCTGGTATTAGAAAGTCCCATTTATCCAAGACAGTGTTGGGGCAAAAAGGCATAAGCTGTTGTAGATGTTAATGTGCAGTACCTTAAAGCTTTTTTCTTTCAGATACATATTTTTGAGGATACTAACTAAATTTGCATGTAGGCATATTTCACAAATGCTCTAATGTCGCGGGTATGAATTATAAACTAGGATTTTTGGATATCAGTTTCTGTAGATAATAAGAAATGATTTTTAGATTGAATTATCAGCTACTTTTAACTTTAGTAGTACCTCTATGTTTTACTGAAATATAGTTCTACATAGTTATTTGCTTGGGGAAATAAACTAAAGATGTACAAAATAATTGAAAGAATTTGCCTAATCCTTTGTCCTGATCCAGAAACTAAACGTTTTAGATGCAAATCTGAAATAATCCAGTTGCCATTCTTCCTGAGCATCGTGACAGTTGCTCAGGCCTCAGTTATTTTGGTAGGTTAAAATTGTTTTTTGAAGGAGCTTACAAAATATAATTGGTGGGAAATAATTTTTAAAAAATAATAATTACAGTAGAATCACTTATATTCCCACAATTCTAAATACAAGTTGGACTGTAGTTCTTTGACTTGTGTTTCCTAGGAAAGTAAAAAAGGTACCCTGATATGACAATGTGAGATTTTTCCTCCAAGAATTCTAATAACATTAATGACTTTACTTTGATTTTTATTTATTCATTCTACAAATATGTATCTACCTCATTCCAGGTAATTTTTTTGGGTGTTAGGAATACAGCAGTGAAGAAAATACACAAAATCTCTTCTTTCATGTTGATGACCAGGGTTGATTTACAAAATTATTCTTTTGTGTTGTATTGTTGTTCTTGACCTGGTGGTAATACTATTATTAATGTGTGTCCTATTTGATGGTACAGATATACATACGTGTGTGTGTGTGTGTGTGTGTGTGTAAAATTATAGCACTTAGAAATACTAATACTATTGATGTGTGTCTACTTTGATGTAGCCATACGTATTATTATTATGTTCTTTTTTGCCTAAGGATTTTTAATATTCTGGTTTTCTCTGTTTACTCTTTTAATAATTAGGTATTTATAAAATACATCAGGGATTTGAACATTAGCTTAGATTAAAAAATAGAACACAGTTTTTGTTTTTGTTATTTTATTGTCTCATTCTTGTGTTAGCTCAAGTCCAGAAATTTGCTTGTGTTTTTTTTTTAAAAAACAACTTATGTTTCAAGAAATTTTGGCTGCAGGGCTCAGTTATTTAGTGTGTTGTATTTATAAAATTGTTAATTTGATACCTTTTTGAAAACAAGTTAACTTTTATAGGAAAAACAATTCTGCTTCATTGGGTGAGACTTTGGTACAAGTAATACCTTTCATTTGTATTCTTACTATTTGTATAAAATCTAGTCTTCGGATTTTTGATCAGTTCATCATCACTACTGAATAAATCAAGCAGTAGAGAGTTTACCCATCACCTGTGTGCTTTTCATTTTGGCATGCTTACTTTTGCTACTTTGTAGCACTTGTAAGATTAATATCTAAGCATATGATTTAATCAAAACATGTAAAAGTAAGTTAGAGTGCCATGCCATTTAAATATTGGTTGTTATATCATTTAAATGTACTTATTTTGTGACTGTTTCTTACGTTTTGTTCAATTATTAAATATTTAAAATTTTATTTTTCTGCTGGGCGTGGTGGCTCACACCTGTAATCCTAGCACTTTGAGAGGCCAAGGTGAGATGATCTCTTGAGGCCAGGAGTTCAAGATCAGCCTGAGCAATGTAGGGAGATCCTGTCTTTACAAAAAATACAAAAATTAGCTGGATATGGTGGCACATGCCTGTAGTCCCAGCTACTCAGGATGCTGAGATGGAAGGATTGATTGAGCTCCGGAGTTTAAGATGGCAGTGAGCTGTGATGACACCACTGCACTCTAGCCCGGGGCAACAGAGTGAGACCCCATCTCAGAAAGAAAATTATTTTTCTGATTCATATTTTAAAATTGTATTTTGCTCCATGGTGGAACAGTTTGCGATGGAATGGATCTTTTAAATAAAATAAATAGTTTTTTTCCTTGTGTTTTATTTATGCTTTTTAGGTGGCAGCCAATGCACACATTCCTCCAGACTACCTCCTTAAAATTTGTGAGCGGATTGGTCCCTTACTTGATAAGGAGATCCCTCAGAGTGTTCCTGGGGTACAGACATTACTAGGTGTCGGTCGACAGTCTTTGTTACGGGATGCCAAAGGTGAGATTTTCAGATTTTAGAACTGTGATATCAGAGGAAGGAGTAGAGAGCAGCTTATTTTTAGGTTGAGTAAATGTTCCCATGCTTTTCTAAATACTGATTTTTTTCTAGTTTTTTAATCTTACCACTGTTGTTTTTATTTTCTTAGTGTACAAGTACATTTTTTAAGACTTAAAAAGCAGCCCTTTTTTGGTAAAACAGTGACTATCATAGAGGTGAAGAATAAAAAATCCCTTTGTAATCGTGGAATAGCGATCTGAAAGATTGCTGCTTTGATTAATATAGTATACATGCTTAAAAGAGTGTGTCATTACATCATAATGTTCTTACTCTGTTGGTCTTGATAATATCATCCTAATATTGTATATTTCATAATGGATAAATGAAAATTATATGTAAACTTTTTATAATTGAAAATATTTATACAAAAATATCAATCTTTCAGTGACTATTAAATAACAGTTTACTCAGCTAGTTTTCTGTTTTCTTAACAGATTTTTTCCCGAGTTTTACATGGAACTCCAATATGTAAAACATATAAAGTGGTGTTTTGTAAACATAAAAATGTGAAATTAGGCATTAGGGATGCCTCTTGAATTAATAAATGCTTCAGGTCTAGCAACCCATTTTTTTATTAACATAGTATTTTTAAAAATCCTAATTCACCAAGATAAATAGTTGTATAAATGATGGTACCAGGTTTTAAGCATCTCATTTTATAATTTATGGAAAGTTTTCAATTTAGTTAATTTGTAAGCTTTCAATAGGATAGTAGAATCTTTTTGTTTCAAAGCCAAATTATTAGTAATATTTAATATTTGCTTGAATATTTTGACCTAAACATAAAAGTGAGACAAAAAACAAACTATTTGTACTCAGTTATCATCTGATATGCAGTGTTGTTACCTATTATGATACAGCTGGCAAATACTCCACAACATGAGCATACACCCAAGTATAAACGTGCCTGAATTTTCCCTGGCAAGTTTGTGCTATGGTTGGTCGTGTCCTTGCTTATACAGTTTTATATGTGTAGACATGCATAGCCTAAAGATCAAAAAGGACTGATTTAAACTTAAAACCATATTAATCTGTGACATATTTACATAAGATTCAAGCATGTACGTAATAAAAGCTTTAGTTCAAGGCCAGCACAGAAATAAAATATCCTGATGCTATGTTAGAGTGTTGGTGTTTACCAGTCATAATTTAGTTTATCACGTTTAAATATATGCATATTTTTATTATGGTTTTAATAGTTAAAAATATATTCCAACAAATGAAATTAAAATCTGATATTTGCCTCTGAGACGCAGTTGAATAACACTACTCTATTCCTTAACTAACTGTTTTGGTCTTTTTATATAGACTGTAAGAGTACACTATGGAATGGGTCTGCTTTTGCAGCTCTACATAGAGGCAGACCTCCAGAACTACCTGTAAATTATGTGAAACCTCCAAATGTGGGTGAGTAAAATCCAGTGTGACTTATAAACATATTCTTGATTCCTTCCTTCCTGAACTCATTAGAAGCCAAAAATAGGTACCAGAATTAAATTTGAAGTATAAACAAACCGTTACATTCTTGAGAAGTTTCATAGTTGGCCCAGATTTTTAAAACATTTTTACTTAATGCAAATATAATCATGGTTTTGTAAAAGTTGACTTTTTTTCTTTTTCATTTCATTTCATTCTTTCTTAGCAGAAGCATTTCTTTTTTTATATAGTACAGGTGTTTTTTAGCTATATGGTTGTCTATTTACATGTGTATGTGCTGAGTTTCTCAAAGATTTTACAGAGTACTATGTAAAGATAGCTCTCAGAAGGAAACGAAAGTACATCCTGCTTATATCTGTTTGCCAAAATTATAATGATGCGCTATACATTTTTGTATGTCTTTATTAAGACAAAAGGTCATCATTCTGGTTCGAGTTTACTGAAAGTCACATGTCCCATTCAGATTATTCTTGGGACATCTATGGCCAGACTATTATGAAGAAATGCTAATTCCCAAAGAGATCTAGGTACAAAACCATTTATATCAAAGTTAGCTCTCACAAAGTATGTGCAAAACAAAGGTCGTGGATAAGTAATTGCTCCTCTACTCCCCTATTTTCTCAATCTTCTAAAAATTATTTTATATAGTGCCTAGTGCTTACAGAATATGCCTTAAAATTTGAAAGAGATGAATTTCAAATAGGAAAATAAGAATACTTTTTAAAAAGGAATGCTGTTTTATACAACAGCATATAGAACTTATCCCCAGCAGTTAAATAAATTGAAGCTAGAAATAATTTTAAAAGATATTTAGACAAAATCACTGATTAAATGTTTGTAAAGCTTATTAAGAGATGGATGTTACTTGGAAAAGTTGGCTACTGGATTGGGTCTAATTAGATATGACACTGCTAATATATATATTTTTTAACTTTCAGAGGTAGTTTATCTATCATAGTTTAATTAACTTATTGAATTGAATTGAGATAGCTTTTGTTATTCATACATTTATGTTCAAATATAAAATGTTTTTAGCTATACTGTTAACATTATTTTGTAGTGCTTTATACTTCATTGGTCATGTGTGAAATGTTGAAAAGCAGCCTTTAGAGTGTTAGGTTCTAAGGTTTTCTTTATCCTCTCTTCCCTTCTCTTTCTTTTTTTTCCCTTTTAACTGAGCATATATTTTCAAACTTCTGCTGGTTTTGTATAGTAAACTCTTTACACTCACATGAATCACTTTGTTATTCTTTTCATAACTGCTTGGGAATTGTAGTGCCCCTGGCATCGATTGCTTGATTGATTGATTTATGCATGACATAGAATTTTTTTTTCCAATTCATCTTAAATCTACTATGTTATTTGGGGAGGAGCTTTTAGAATACAGACAATTCAATCATGATGTATTTTCATGTAGTACATACTAGTCAAGATACTTAAGTTTAAAATATTTAGAATTCAGAGCCTGATAAAAACTCCAGAGTATTTGACTAAGAAAGTAAGCAAGATGAACATGAAATCTTTTCAAGTTGTGATTTGTAGCAGTTTTCTCATTGTGGGGCACAGGTCTCCATAACTACATTAAAATCAATCAGTTTTATAGTTTGCCAGTCTAAACAACACTTATCATGAAAGTAAATCTTCCTGAAAGTTTTATCAAAGAATCTTAGAACTAGAAAGAATTTTAGCAACACTGTTTCTCAAAAAAAAAAAAAAAAAAAAAAAAGAGTTCTATGGTCAAGTAAACGTGGGAAACGGTGAATTTAAAAAAAAGGTAACAAGGAGCCGGGCACAGTGGCTCATGCCTGTAGTCCCCACAACTAGGGAGGCTGAGGCAGGAGGATCACCCGAGCCCAGGATTTGGAGGCTGCCATGAGCTAGGATTGCACCACTGCACTCTAGCCTGGGTGACAGAGCAAGACCCCATGGAGAGGGAGGTGGTGGGGAGGAGAAAAATTTGAATGAATGTAGGACTATTCAGAACCTTTCAAGCTAAATGCATTGTAAATCACCTTATAGGAAATATTTCCCAAGTAATTTGACCAAGGAAACCCTTTTCCAAGAATACTTGTAAGATTCTGAAAGTTTCCTGGGAACAAATTTGGGAAACTGGGTTGTAAACCCCTCTGTGTACGGCAGAGAAATCCAAAGCTGAGATTGGCCAAAATCACACTGCTTATCTTCAAAATAGTCTATTTCTATATCATGTTCATGGTTGGATATCACCATGTTTCCTTGGTGTAACAGATTTCCGCTAACAGAGCTCTGAAGATAGAGGATTAGCCTCGTTACTTTTATGTTTAAAGTCAAGTATATTAAAGTATAATTGACATAAAATAAAATTCTCCCTTTTTTAGTGTGCAGTCAATGAGTTTTGACAAATATAACATTTGTATAAGCACCAGCACAATAAAAATATAGAATATTTTTATCATCCCCCTCAATACTCCTCCCTCAACCCCTGGAAACCATTAACCTTTCTGTGACTGTACTTTTGCCTTACTTAGAATGTCATCAAAATTAAATCATACAGTATGTAGCCTTTTGTGTTTGTCTGCTTTTGTTTAGATTAGTGCTTTTGAGATTCATGCGTGTCATTTCATGTGTCATTAGTTTATTTCTTTTTATTACCAAGTAGTATTCCACTCATTCATCAGTTGGTGGACATTTGAATTGTTTCCACATTTTGGCTATTATGAATAAAACTATTGTAAATATTCATGTACACGTTTTTCCATGAACATCTCTCTTCATTGGTTTGGGGTAAATATTTAGGTAGTGGGATTGTTGGATCATATGATAAGTACAGGTTTAACTTTGTAGGAAACTGCCAAACTGAAGGTGGCTGTCACAATTGTATTCCTACCAGCAATATATGAAATTTCCAGTTGCGCCACATTCTCACCAGCTTCTGGTGCTGTCAGTTGACATATTTTCATGTGCATATTTGCCATTTTATATGTCTTCTTTAGTGAAGTATCCATTTATATTTTTTGCCCATTTTTTAAATTAGGTTGTTTGTTTTTTTCTTATTGTTGAGTTCTGAGAGTTCTTTATATAACTTGGATACAAGTCCTCTTTATTTTGCAAATATTTTCTTCCATTCTGTGGTTGTCTTTTTATTTTTTAACCATGTCTTTCAAAGAACAGAATTTTTTTTTCTTTACCATTTTATTAC